CCACTTATACACACGAACACGTCAAACCTGAGGCAAGAGTACTATGTAAGGACTCGCTTACTCTGTTATGCAAATTGCGCCTTTATTGAAGGACGGCTGGCAACACAAGCTGCTTTCTTCATTGTTGCTTATTACACTGTTTCATTCAGGCCTTGTTTTGTAATTCACAGCAGAGGTATGCTGCCTCAAATCACGCCTCAGAAATCTTATTTATTTATCTACGTAGACTCTCCCTCTTGTTTATGGGTTGAATGATCCAGAAAATTTCACACATTATATATGTACACACACTATAAATCAGAAACTACGACGGAGTAGTAGGGCCACATTAAGAAAGAAAAATAAACTTTGAGATTAAAGTTGTTAATTTACGAGAATAAAGTCATAATAAAGTAATTACTTATGAGAGTAAAGTCGGAATAAAATCATTACCATACTTATGATAATGTGGTGCTGATGTGCTAAAAGATTAAGTATCTCCTTGTTTGAGAAATCTATATTGAAGTATATTTTCATGAAATGCTCCATGGCTCTCATTTCAACAACTGTCATCTCAAACAAAAGGTTAGAATATAAGGACTTTATTCTTGTAAGTTAACGACTTTAGGCCCTAATACTCCATCGTAAGAAACAGCTTTACACAAACAAGTTTGAAAAATCAGAAATGTAGGTTTCACTCTTAAATGTTCCTTTGAATAACTTTGTCACAACTCTATCTCTTTTACTGACAAGTTAGCAGCTGTGATCAAGTGATTTAAAATTTAAACTCAACTTTTAGTGAGAAGTCAGGTCAAAATTTGTCAAAAATCAAAATACTTTGAGTCCCTTTTTCCCCCTCAGTTGAAGGTTAAACCAAACCTCATCGCTGTGCAGTGTTAACTAGCTTGAGGTAAACTCCTATAAATGACAACAGCTTTTAAATCTGTTGTCTTCATTACCAATAACTCTCTGTCTTCAAGATAAATAAGCCGGATTGAACTTCCACTACTAGTCTGAACCCTCCTTCCAGAGTGCTCTCAACCAACTTCATCCTGGATGTATCTTGGCATGAGAAACAAAGACCTCTGAAGAGGGAGACCACAGAGTCAACATCAGTCTGCAGTCCGAAGAAACTGCTAAAACATGACCAAACAAGAGACATATGGGGCACTACTCACAGTTAAAACTATTTAAAAACAATTTTTCTTCTCCAACTGGATCAGCTGTTTTAGTACATTATCATCTTGTAAGACTTTGTAGTTCGTTGAAAAAAAAATACCCACAAACAGTAGTCAGTGGTCAGACAGTGAACAGTGTGCAAATGTTTGTGTCATGCAGAGGGTAACGGGTTTTCAGCAGTGTTTGATACACGCAAGCAAAATAGTCATTAACAAAACATGGAAAGTTGCATTTTTCTACAAAGGGATGCCACAAATGTACATCTTAAGGAATAATTAAGAATAGTGTACAATATTAAACGGTAGAAAGTGCACACTTGTTGGCGTATCTGGACTTTTATGGCTCATATTTCTGTAGGGATTCATGGCTGTTTTTTCATTGCCTGCCATCCATCCTCTTTATCCCCAAGTACGGTAAAAGCACAGGGGCAGAGTGGGTTGTTATAACTCTCTTTCTAGATTTATGGGTGAAAGTGTCAGCTCCCTCACTGGGCTGTACCTCCAGTCAAACACTAAAAAATAACCTACCTTTATTTTGTACATGACTTACCCAATTATAGTATTAAATACATAACTCAAGAGTTTAGTATTGATACAAAGGCCTCTATTTTTATAATTTGCTGCAAAACAAAAGGTTTCTCAACTACAAATCCTTTAAATGTTGTAATCGTGCAGAGTAAAGCTAACCTCACATTTGTCCAAATTCAAGAGAATCTCTGTTTTCGAGTTAAATACCCCAAAGTCAAACTAATCCGTCTATCTCAAGTGATAAGAGCTCTCTGTAAAGATGTCTCAGATGATTGACTGTGTAATAGTTTTTGATTCTGAGGGTCTCTCTTCATAATATCCCAGGAAACTGGTTTGCTGTCTCCTCAGTGTATGTTTACTCTTCTGCATCAAAGATGTGTGTGCATGGATGCGCCATCCCTGGGATATAAAGTGAATGCCTCACCAGAAAGAAAGAAAACGAAGAGGAACAAACACCTCAGCTATCTCACCCTTCGTGCTGGATACATGGGAGAATGCTGAGAGGACGTAGGATTGGTTTCTTGAGTGATGTGTGCCTGTGGCGCATTCTTTCCCTGCTTTGTGAATGCATCAACATAAATTGAGGTAAGGGATAAAAGCTGTGTCACTGTGCTGGGACGGCATTGTGTTACTGCCTGTTTAAAATATATTACGACAAAAAAGGTTGACAGGTTATTGTTTTTGATCCGGGTGAATTCTCTGCTCATGTGTCAGACTTTACTGATTGACCTTTTAACGCTATTTTTGACTCTTTTCTGAAGTGAAAACACACATTTACAGTCTGCATTCGGATATATGTGTGTGCGTTTCCCCTTTTTTCCCCCTTTTGTGTTGATTTACGTGGACAGAAGAATAGATCCAGCCAATAACAGTTTATCATAAGTCAATAGTAATTTGCAACAATATCATTAGATGGACATACAATTTGCAACATAAAGAAGAAATTAAAGATCAAATAAGCAACTTTTTCCCTGATGTATTTTGGTATCTTCGAGGTGGTGTTTGGCTCCTCTTGTCACTTTCAAAGATTAAATACTTTCTGCTGTATTTTGTGAGTAATAAACCACTTTTAGTATCATGTACAGTTGATCAGTTCTTCGTGACACGTTAAATTCTCAGACTATGATAAAACTGTATCTCCACAGTGAAGCTATTCTTCCCAACAAAGTTCTCAAATCACATTAGTTACGTTTCGAATTACCTTATGTCCCCAGAGTTTCCCTCACGGCTGGCACACAAACGTAAATTTCTGAAGGGAAATTCAGCTCATTCCATCCTCTTTTCCAAACGTGGAACTGTAGTGACTTCAACAAGCAAGCCTCCAATTGAGGTTTCCGTCCACGAGACGTGCAATCACTCACTTGGTAGTGGAGCTCAATTCTTACTCTGCTCAAAAAAACCACAGGAATTCTGCTTGCTTTAAAAGATGCAAAACCCAATACTTATAAAAATGCTCAGGGGTTTGGCACAGGAGGGAATCAACATGGAGACTCCTTAGGAAACAAGCACTTGATGTGTTTAATACAACGGGCATGGGTGGGAGAAGGAGATGACTCTCTTATGAAGGAAGATGAAATATAAGGTGTATCAGTGTTGGTATTAGTACCCTCTGCTTTAGATTCAGTTTTTAGTTAAATATTTCACAGCCTCATATACTTGAGTGGTTAGGGTTAGTAACTGTTGAGAATAAAGTGTCATTAAAGGGATATTCCGGCGTAAAATTAAGTTAGGGTCAAACACACCGTTACACTGAGTTAGACACCCCATCGAGAGATGAATGTTGCCGACCGCTTGCTTCTCTAGCTAGATCAACTTTAGTAACGACCGCACGATAGCAATACAGAGAGCCACACGCTCAACCAAAACGCCACTCTATGAGCACAAATAATGCTCAGAACAGCACCTAACTTCATCAACAGTACATATAGGGTCCCAGCCATAGTACTAGCCACCAAACATTTTTTAACTTTGCCTAATTTCTTCAGCAAAGAGACTAAACACAACTCACCCACTCTCATCCAGCAGTCGCTTGTTTGTACGAAGACCTCTGGGCGAGTCCATCGACTGCAGCAGGGGGATGAAGCCAACAAATGGCTGTATGAATTCAGGCCTGCAATATAGGCCACAGCAAACCAGGGTATTTTCCTATAGAGGAGAGGGGGGTAAGATGAGCCGTTTTTCATATTTAAGATGTTGTTCATCCCTGCAAACCAGCAGAATGAGTGTAAACATAACTGTCTTGATAATAAAGCATGTCAAAAAAAGTGGTCTTCTATGGTCAACTTACTCTGTGTTTGGGGTAAGTTGACCATAGGAGTGGGGTAAGTTGAACCATATCCCTATTAACCCCCCACTCTCCACCCCAGCCCTCCCTCACCTTCTCTCTCCCTAAATAACAGTCACTTCTTCACATTCATGTGTATTTTTATCTATTATACGCTATTCAACTGTTACAATATTTCTTTTATCATACCTCTTACCCCAGAACTACTATTTTGACTTTATTAGTCCTCTAAGCTAAAATGGTGGACTCTTGTGTTAGGTTTTTGACCTCATGTTGTGGCTCATAAATACCACAATTGATGTATAAAACAAATTTTAAATGTTTTTTTTAAAACAAATGTCTAACCCCTTCACCCATGTGCTTCTAACCTTCACAGACTACATGAATTGAAGCCCATATCCTAAATATTTGGTCACATTATCAATTTCTTTCACCATTTCCAAGCAACAGGAAGTGGCTCAACTTACCCTTTGACTCAATTTACCCCACTCTCCGCTATAAGCTGATTGTATCGGTATAGCCTAGATGATTCAGTGTTTGGGTAGACTGCATATAGCCTACAGAATGTGTAATCTGTCTGCCTCATGAAAAAAACGATTGACTTATGCAACATTTGACATGACACCGTATCCACTTCAATGCCAAAACTCTCCATCATCAGGCCAACTTGATGCATCTTTTCAAGTACGCTTTCATTAAATGTCCTGCTGGTGTAGAAAAGTTCCGAGCACTTCACACATAATGCTTCCCATCACCTAATAGGTCAGCTGATGAAACGCCTCCCATGGGCGGATGTTCTCCCATTGGTCACTCTTTCCAGCGCCCGCCTAGTTTCTCACAGACCTCTGCGCTCTCATTGGCCGCCTCACCTGATCGTCATCGTGCGTACGCAGTGGGCGTCAGCTGTGATTTTTCCGGTTCGTTTGTGATTGGCCGGTTGCGGCTGCTGACGTCACGGCCCTGCCAGCTGATCGGAGTGAGAAGCCGGTTTGAAGAGAGGAGTTGGACCGGAGAGAGAGACCGGGGAAGGAGCCCCAAGAAGCAGCGAGCTGTACGAGGAGTGGGACGCACCGGATACTGAAACTATAGACCGTCTCTGCGTAATTTTTTCACAGGTTTATGCGTAAATACCGGAGCGCACTGAGACACTGAGCTTCAGCTCCTAAAAGGTGAACTTGTGGTTATTGCGCCTCGTCGAAACCTCTAAGGGCTGTCAGAGAAAAAAAAAAACTGATTGAGAGTTAAGGTGTGGCTGAGGGTTTCTGTGACGCTTCAACGCTGAAAAATGCTCCAAAAGAGACTGTTTCTAAATCCTGAAGACTGATACTCTTCAGCTTCACACGGCTTTTTAAGATTCTGCTCAGTCTTTTCCACCCAGGAACATATTACATAACAAACGTATTGCCTTCTTGATGTGCGCACCTTTTGGCTGAAAACCCCCTCGCTATAGACGGACTGTTACGCAGTCAAGAAGTAGAGAGCGTCAAGGAATTTTGTACTATTTGTCAGGTGAGGTTCGGTTTCATAAGTCTGGTTAAATGTAACGGACGTGGCAACTTTACAGTAGCCAGTCCTGCTGAATGCCACGGGCAAACTGGGCGTGGGGGGGAGAAAGAGTCCGAACAGAGCCTTAAGAATCCTCAAATCTGCTCCAAACTGCGCGTATTTGATATTTGGAGCGGCTCGGTGGCTTGACCTGCACCAAAGTAAGTGCGTCTCTCTGGTACATTTTTGCAAACTTTTTCACGGAGGTGACATTTAAAGGCCACAGGGGAGGGCGTGCTACGGTGTCATCCCGAATACGTTTTACCCTGTTTTATCAAGATGTAGAGAGCTCTGGAAACGGAGGAGACGGATTAATTTGGTCCACGCGGTGGTGTGTCGGTCGGCTGAGGCCTATCAAATCTTTTCCGTGTTATGATACAGTGCGTGAACATAACTAGTACGGGGAATGGGCGGGTGCGTCCACGCCAGTGCGAACGGCTGGGCGTTGAATGCATCTAAATCCAGCCAAGGAGCAGCGCAGTGTAAGAGTTGAATTTACATCCCAGCAGTCCGCTTTGACTTGCTCACTGAATACCATGGAGTCATGGCTCACTCTCGCGATGTTCTTCTGCCATTATAAGTCATAGCGATAATTGAGTGCACATGCAGGCTGACCCTCTAATTAAGATAAGCTTTAAGTCGAGAGGAAAGCAGATAGAATTCATTCTTCAAGGCCCCACCCTTTGTAGCGCAACATGGATGAGGGTTGCCCCCACCTCCTCCTCCTCCTCCTCCTCCTCTTCCCCCTCCTCTCCTCCTCTCCTCTCCCTGTGTCTCTCCCTCCGCGTCATTCGTTTCCCCCCCTTCAAGCCTGTCTTCTGCTGTTTTCCCCCCCTCAGTATCTCCAGGTGCCTTCAGCTACAGGAGATCGTCTCATCTTTTAACCTACTTCGGATGTGGATCGTGTTCAGGAGCTTCTTCAAGGAATCCTCGGTGCCGATCATGGGTGCAGGTAAGTGAGGTTGCGTTTAAGTCTACCTGTGGAATGCTGTATGGAGCAAAGGGTGGGCCTGTTTCTATACTTTCACACTGGAACTCATGTAGTATTCATGTCACATCTTGGTGCATGTTGTAGTTTTATCATCTCAACTTCATGTGAAATTGCTCGTTTTGATTTTAACACCCTTGTATTTCTTGTACTCATCAACCTGTTGCAAGTTATGACACTTTATGTACTCTGCCCCCCATTTTCCATGGATTCTGTTGGCAGGAGTTACATAATCATATAGGTGGTGTGTGTTCGGGGCCCTAGAACCTTTCACTTATGCAATTCTGGTTTAAAGATTTCAACACAGAGGAGTGATGTGGGTCAAAATATAACTTGTCAAAGTTGAAGTTCCAAAGCTCTTAGTTCTTGAGAAAACAGCCTTTGGACCGGTCATAATCCAGCGTGCCGCAACTCTCCATCTTCTGCATTCTCTTTTGCAACCACAGTCTTTTCCACCTGCGTCCAATATACGTCAGCTAAACTACAGCTCAGACCTTGTTGCATTTAATCTTTGCAAGGCGTAAAAGCTCCTGATGGATCACCTGGCCCATGACTTGCCTTTTTGTAGTTTTTTTGTAGTTCTGCTCGTTTTTTTAAAAGGCCTTCTTACAAGAAAAAGTAATAATCTCTTTTTCTGATTGTCAATCCCACATGGTACACAGTTCATTCTTGAGATGCTCTAGATCTGCCCGTTAGCTCTGCTCCCCCCACTGCCCACTTTTTTCCTCAAGAGTGCCCGGCCCGCAGTAATTACCCCTCTTTTAGTATGAATGGTGAATTATACATGATGCTGCAAGCCGGGCGGTCAGAGTCCAAGCCACTAGACACATGCGGATTATCGGCATGCCACCATTTGGATGTTTCTGAGAGAGCTAACCTCTGTGGTTTGAGAATCCCACCCACCCTCTATGAAGGAAGTGCTGTGTTGGAACTTGTTTCATATATCTATATATATACTCAGAGTAAACAGAGATGTATACACAATGATAAAGCACGTACAAGTTTTTTTTTAAAGTTGGCTGCAGTGAGGCATTTTAGATGTTCAAGGACTGGTATGCAAAAAGGATGCAAAATTGTTGTCACCAGATGAGTCACCGGGATTTTTACAGAACTGAGAAGAAACTTTTGTAATGTTTGCAGTGTCACTTTTTGTAGTTACACTCAGCTGCATTGTTGCATTTCTGGGATGATAACTGTTGATTTTCTTTAGTATTTGATCGATTTATAAATCCACAGTTGAATTCTTTTAGATAAATTCCTGATCCACTCCTACAGACATCCCGCTGTCACATACTCTGCTATAGAGTGGACCACTTTGCACTATTAAAAAGTAACTTCTTGATTGTCTTTCCCCCACCCTCCTGCTCCTCTTAATCATCCGGTTGGAGTGTTTGCTTTGTCTGGGCTCTGATTGTTTAGCCACATTGGATTGACCTGAGTGCATATCTCTATGTGTGTGCGTGTGTGTGTGTGTGTGTGTTGGTTGGTAGCCGGCACAGTCGTTATCTCTGCGTGGCTAGATGTGATTAATACAGGCGTCCAGCAGTGACGTCCATTGCGCCACTCCCTAGACACATTCACACACTCAGACACACACACACACACACACAGAAAGGGCATGAAAGAGGGGAGAGAGAGACCGGAACGTGATGTTTGTGCCCCAATTTAGTGTCCGTGCGCCCTATAATCTGGAGTCAAATGTCAAGAAGTCGTCCTGAAGTCTTTATTTTGTGCCCATATGAAAGCATTTATCTTTATGTGTGTGCATGTGTTTTAGTTTTCTCCATATTTCATGCAAATGTGTGTATGTTTGCGGGTCGGCTAATTGGGTAGGTTTCAGTCTGACTAACGGGCCTTTCACTTAACTAACCACAGAGGGATCTGGAAGCGTTTTGCAGCGTCAGAGTTAATGACATTGATGAGGACCAAAGAATATATAAAAATGTCTCATTTGATGAGTCACCTCCTCTACCTCCTCTGCAAACTGAAGCTTTTGAAAGGCCAACCCTTGGAGTGACTGGTTCTAACCGAGCACGGCTGAACATTGACTGTTATTGATGGCCAATCACAGAGGAGAGGATCTGCGGTGGAAATGCGGTAGCTGCAGTGAGGTTGCACATTTTTATGGCCACACCCAGACAGCCTCAGAGCTAGCTTTGATTAGCTTTGGCTAAAACCTACACCGTTTATGGCCCATTTAGTACTTTTTCCTCAATGTCTGAATTTTTCCAAATTAATTTCTGGTGAAGGTGCAACATTTGTTTGTGGGATGAAAGGCAGTGTGTTTCTGCAGCTAGTATGGACAACCAAAGCTGAGGAAGCTCCTTGGCAGGTGTTGCCATGCTCTGTGTAGGTGTATGTGTATGATATCGTCTGATGGAGAGACAGATGCACCCTCTTCCATGTGCGAAAAATGAGAAAATGCACAGAACAGAGATGTGTGGGAGTAAGCAGCACGGCGTGGTTCTTGTAGTTAGCAATGCAGCGCTAACTGTATTCCAACTGAGTCCCACGCTACACTGTATCAGCCTCATATGGAGACAGAGTGTCACCACTCCTCAGTGGGGCTGCGTTAGGTTTACCAGACCACACTCACACTGTTGTGCACTCATATGTACAACATATGCTGCACTGGAAAGTTTTCTGTTGCAAAAAGAAGAAAAAAAAGTGAAGCTAACCATGAGTTCTTAGTTTTATCTGCTAAATACAGGTGTCATGTGTTCACCTGCGCTCGCAAAGGTAGGGAAGTAATTGCAAGATTTGTCTAGATACCAGACTGGACGGTATCTGAGCCCTTAAATGATTTCCTCTATCGAAGTTTTGTGCACCATAAGGTTTGCACATACATGCTTGGATAGATTGTGGAAACAGAAAAAAATCGAAAGGGTCCTGTATGCAGAGAAACAGGGTTTATAGATGTGACCGAGCTCATTTTTGATTTGGGGGATTGATTTGCTGCAACGCATTCAGCTTTGAGCCGGTCTCTGCAGGGCCAGCGGTGAGGAGCGGTGGGCCTCTCTGCAGACCGGCTGGAATGTGGACCATATGTAGCAGGCATCCCAGGAATGTAACTCGGCCTTGCTGAACTGACCAACCTAAAGACACAGAGCGAGCAGAGCAGGATAAGGAGGAGATAGAGAGGGACAAACCGAGGGGTGGAGAGAGGAGGATGATATTTAAGGACAAAATATATCAGGATGGAGAAAAACGAAGGCTCGGGAAGCAGGAGACGAGAGCTTAATGAAGTGCATTAGAGATGAGTGCGTAAAGAGGGGTTGTGAAGAAACGATTGATTGAAAGGAGAAATGGATGGGTACAGAGGAGAAAAAGGAAAAAGATAGGCTGATGCATACTGAAAAATCTGAAACCAGCCTGCAAAAATCACGGTTGACATAATTTAATTTAGATAAAACATATTTGCAGGTTTCAGCTTCTGTACTGAATGTTACAAAAACTCAAAATTTTAAAGTCAGTTTTTATCTCTAAATCCTCCAAAGAGCAGATGTTAAAGAAAATGTTCATGTTGGGCTGAATTCTTGCTGTTGTGTATGTATTATTTAGGGGCATTTATTAGAACAGACTTGGTAGAAATTAATAGTTTGATTTTGTTAATTTTCAAATAAGTCTTTTAATGTTATCTAAATTAGAGGAAATCATCGTGGACCTCCATGTTTCTACAGCAGCAACAAAACAGACAAACTAGTACGAGCCAGGCATGTTTTTGTATGAAGTGGCTGGCTGCTGGTGTGAAGAAGGAGACAAAAGTGTTTTTTGTGCAAATGTGCATTTGAAGTTTTTAATTGTGAAAAAAAAACTGGATGCCTCACAGAATCCTCTTGGTCTCGAAGGCCATTGTTACCTCACCCACATAGCCAGGGATGTTTGAGTGCAGGATTTGACAGACACTCATTTACTCTGTTAGAAGAGTGAAGAGTGACGGTACAAGCTCATCTTTTGACTCCCTTTTAATGATAACCTCATTAAATTTTTTTTTTTAACTCTGACTTTTCATGTCAAGGTAAGACGAGAAAGACAAATTGGCTTATTGCTTTTAAAAGGGTGGACATGGGTAACTTAAAATAACACCCATTGTGACTCAGGCGGGTTGTTTTCTCTGTCTCATCTTGCGGTCACACATCCTATTACGACAAATTTTAATAATAAAAGCTGCTGGATATTTACGTCATGCGAATCAAACCTATTCAGAATACACCTGTACAGCCTAATAGGGATATTTAATAGGGTGTGACTCCTGTGGATGAAATGTGGATGTGTGTTATTATGTGTGTCAGACCGCAGTGTTCTTCCAGCTCGGTAACTCAGGGCGAACGTCTCTGTCTTCATCTCTGTTAGCTTAACACAATGTGCTCTCAGGCCATCTGGGTACAGCTGGGGCCAGAACGGCAGGAAACACACTCACTCACAGATACACACACTTATCCAAACATTCTCTTTATTTAAGACTGACATACCCGGGCCATGCCCCCCATTCACACACACACACACATACACTCACACACACTTGCACACACCCTGTTCAGTGGGGTGTGGTGGCACTTGACCTCCACTCTCCACAGTTTTCGTTGACAAACCCAAACGTCACAGGCTTATCGTTTCATCCTCAGTCCATACAAAAGACGAGAAGCTCTTAATCCTTTTCAATCTAATTAAAAATTTTGCTCAAAACCAGGAACCATTAAGCCAAATTACAGCATCATTGTTATGTCGGGACCTGCCCACGTTAGCAGCCTTACTCTCTTCTGTGGGCGCATATCTGCAGCTGGAGATGACAGGCTGGAAACATCTCGATGAGGACTAAGTGAAGAAAGTGTTTGCCATGACAGGAATGTGAAAGGCAGAGGTCAAAGGTCATGTTAACACAGTATGGTTGGCTGGGTAAACCATGAGCTAAACTATTTAGAGTAGAGGAACGAGCAGTCCGTGTTTTTATCTAAAAGTTTATTTTT